ATATATATATATATATATATATATATACACACACACTTTAAACTTATCCAAGAATACGTTTTACAAACTAACTGTATACGTTAAAGAAAAAAAAATACTTACTTTTACATCTGTCGCATGTGATACTGTTAGTAGTCGCTGTAGTACTCGAAAGACTTGAAGAATAATTATCTTTAATGGAAGATATAGGACTAGTTTGTATGACACTGTCACCCTCGCCATTATTTGATGAAGAATTGTTTGGACAGTTTAAGTTTGAACTGGGCGAGGGTGGAGCTTTCACATTGTTAATATAACAGTTAGGTTCCGATTGGTTTGATGAGCTTACGTTATTCTTTGGAGCAGAGAGACAAGTGGTCAACACATTTCCTGCCATTATAGATGCGGTGCTAGACACAGGGAAAATTTTTTCACCAGTAGTTATTTCAGAAATCCGTTTGTTGGTATCGGCCAGCTCAGCTCGAAGCAAAGAAACTTCCTGGTGAGCGTTATTGATATCACCATCTATTCTCGACGCCAGATCCTTGTTATCTTCCATCATCTTCCGGAACTTGGCTTGGGCGTCCACCAAAAGACGTCGCATGAGCGCCATTGAAGATTTGAGGGCCTCCTGTTGTTGCTGCCATATAGCAGTTGTTGCTGGTTCATCACAAGAATCGGAATCAACATCAAGTTCTACAGACTTTGGCGTAAATATATATTGAACAATCTGGTCGTTAAGAGAATCCAATGACTGGAGGGCTGAAATGAAAAACAAATTATATCAGAACCCTGACAGTTTAATATTAAATTTGTGAGACAATAGTGTATATGAGAACTGTAAAAAACGACCAAATTCTGAAATGGATTAGGTAGTTTGAAGGAGGAAACACAGACTAAACAAACTTTTATGTGTGTAAGAATGAGAAAACAAAGTTATAGACATATTAATTTGGTTTGTTTTGAATTTGGCGCAAAGCTACACGAGGGCTATCTGCGCTAGCCGTCCATAATTTAGCAGTGAAAGACCACTCACCACCAACTCTTGGGCTACTCTTTTACCAACAAACAGTAGGATTGACCGTCACATTATAATGCTCCCACGGCTGAAAGGGCAAGCATGTTTGTTGGAGCGGGTATTCGAACCCACGACCCTCAGACGGGCCTACAGACGTATGAAATAGTACCAACTTTATGTTTAACGTTGTGTCTCTAAACTTTGTTTATACGTCTTTATAATGAATAGAAGTAGATAAGATACAAACATAGCACGCACACACGAGGGGGTTGAGGGGTTTCACCGAACCTCCTATTCTTATAGTATCTATCATTTTCTACATAGTTTACATTCTTCTGATGAAGTATTGCATTAGTATTTTTTGGCTTGAAATAGTCGCATTCTTCCAAAACCCCGTAGTATTAGCATGCTGATTGTGCAGAATAAGTGTTGGCTTTTGATCTCACGAATTATAACCCCCCCCCCCCTTTCAAACGTTCTGCGTGTGGGCCTGCATAAGTGTTCCTGACGTGTATGAATGCAACGAGAGAGGTGGAGATAAGTTAATTAGCGAGTCGAGGTCTCCCATACATATCCTTATGGTACATCACAAATAATTCACCATAGAGCTGATCCCTCAGTTGTTATGGCAACAAAGTAAAGGTTGTTCGTGCAGACTTTGCTGACAAAATACCAACAGAAATATCAACCATTTAGGTAAAATTCGAAGTTACCTTGCAGTTCCATTATAAAGACAGACGTTGGAAGACACATGTTGGTTTATATAACTTTCTAACTGATGCATAATTAATATTGTAAACGATACTTAGTTGTAAAAATAGGTCGAAAAAACACCGATAACCATGACTTAGCTTGCCCAAGGTCCATACCTGAATATTATTGTTAAGACTGTGTGAACTTATGTGGAAACTTAGAAGTTCAAATGGCAAACCAAACAACTTGGGTGGGGAGTAAAATAGGATATAACAAACAATATTTCACGATCACATGTTAATAATGTTATTGGTAGCAAGTATAAAATATCGGTGCATTGTACCATTTATTCGGTTTTCTCTGTATAACAATGTATAATACTGATTATAAATTGACTATTTCGTTGCAATTATTCACTTTTTGTGACTTCTGTATACGTATCCACCTGTGTGATTCCATAATTATTTCAATACTGTGTGTATTTGGAGAGACACGCACACACGTTTATTTCTCGTTACATAATGAGTTTGTTTGTCTTTCTATTACATTGGTGATTCTGTTATGTTCTTTACTCCACTAGTGAAACCTACCCCCCCCCCCGTTACGTTAGAAAATCTGTTCATTCGTTAGTAGACAAGTTAAAAAATTAATTTTTATTCAAGTCCCAAAAAAGTTGCAATAAAATAACTCATTTAACCATCTACATTAGACTCTCTTACGCTACTTATGTTGGTTACGTGGCTGTTACGAGGGCTGGGATGCCAAATTCAAGGAGATACGTGATACTAGTGGCTCCCATTGTTCGACTTATAGTGGCCCGTTTCACATTTTATAATTTTGTTTCATTAGGACAACTACCCATCCAAAACTGACTGCATAGGAAGAACTGTAGTTTAGAAAGTGATAAATTGTGGGCTTCTGTACCCATATTGATTTTTTAATATGTAAAATTGTAAATAGGAACAAAGTTTGGAATGTACAATAAAAACTACTTCGACGAAGGTCAACGTTAAAAGATCACCTGTTTCGGCAACCTTTACAAGTGAGACGTGAATAGAAGTTAACAATGATAAACAATGTATCCCTTTCATTGTATGGGCCCTAACTCCACTGATACCTTGCTTACCAAAAGTTCGTTTTTATCTTTCTCACATTGTAGTTTGTACCTCGATTTTTTGTGCTGTTTTTTTTTTTTTTTTTGCCTTGTTGCTTGAAAAGTTGTTTAAAATTACCATTTAAGGTAAGGAGATCTTTGTTAACCCCACGCCCTCCACCCCCTTCCTTTAGAGCTTTTGTGTAGTCCTTATAAACAGAGAGATAGGTCTTCTAAATCAAGCTGGAGTGCCAGATGTAAGATCTTTAGCACCTGAAGACCAAAAAAATAGTAGATGCTTCGGTATACAAGAACGCTGTGTCATACGCATATGCGTTGTTCTTTTAACACATGTTCAACAAGCTGATGTATTACGCCAACTGCTATGAACTTTGCTACAGTTTTATGTGGGCTGCTCTATCAATATTTATAAAGTTTTCACAAACTTTCTATGGAATGAAGGTGAAATTTTATTAACATGAAAAAAAAATGATGCAGTGACTGCCTAAAAACGTATTTTTCAAAAAATAACTTACAGCGTTGAATAGAGGTGATAGATAACTTAAAAATAATACTGGTGTAATCGGCGTTTTGTTTTCTGCATTTTCAACACAATAAAAAAACTTCACACAAAAATGTGTGAAAATTTCGAAAAGAATTGTAATCAGCGTCTTATTTACAATGGTACTTCTTAGTAGTAAAACACCGATATGTTTATGAAATCAATTAATTCTCTAACCTAAACCAGATACATTCTAATACAAAATTAATTCTTTAACCTAAACCGGATACATTCTAATATAAAATTAATTCTCTAACCTAAACCAGATACATTCTAATATAAAATTAATTCTCTAACCTAAACCAGATACATTCTAATATAAAATTAATTCTCTAACCTAAACCAGATACATTCTAATATAAAATTAATTCTCTAACCTAAACCAGATACATCTAAACATAAGGTTCCCCAGTGGCACATCGGTATGTCTGCAGACTTACAACGCTAGAATCCGAGTTTCGATACCCGTGGTGAGCACAGCACAGATGGCCCATTGTGTAGCTTTGTGCTTAATTACAAACAAACAATATTTTCTTGTAGTTGTTTTAAGGGGATGCCAAGAGCGCGCGCGCGTGTGTGTGAGGGGATTCGATTCTGCCCATATTGTGGAATTCATTAGAATTTACTAAAGCAATAAACTATATCTTAATATCTATAAGTATTAGAGCAAACATCCTGAACTATTTCATTATAATATACGTATTTTCAATGGCAGGATAGTAGTCACTGTAATCACTGATTGATCTCTGATAGAAAAAAGTAACATTACAACTTCTATATTATGGGAAATACGTAAATACAGAAGTACGTCTGTCGAATACGAGCGAAAGTTAGGAAAATCTGGGGTATATTCCCTGACAAAAAAAATGTTTACGTGGCAGCCTGAACCCATTTTGATGCAGTGGGGCTAATATATGAGAGAAATGAGAGCACAAAGGAAATTATTGTGAAAATAATCAGTTTAAGAGACAACTTATATGACCTTTTGCTTTTGTGCCTAAATCTTTTTTATCTTGCTAATAGAATTTTGTTTTAAATCTAGAGCCAACAAATTCCTTTTAGAATCTTTAACTGTTTATAACGAAGTTTTTGGTTCAAAATAAGAAAATCTTTCATTTATCAGAATTGATCAGGATAGAAATTGGTGATGGACCCGTGTATTACAGATAAGTAACTTCTGCCTCTCCCCCCCCATGCCGGTACTAATATATACAGCACCACCTACCTCCATCTTAGTCATTTTATACTAATTAGATTAAGAGAATGTGTGTGTGTGTGAACTTTAATGTAAATACAATAATTTTTTTATTCGTGGAAAAAGAAAACTTGTATTAGAAATGGTTAAAGGGTTCGCTTTTCTTTAATTTCCTCCTCGTGGGTCAGCGGTAAGTTTGCCGACTTATAACGCTAAAATCCCGAGCTAGATTCTCCGCCGTGGTTTGTTTGTTTGCAGTTAAGCATAAAGCTGCACAATGGGCTACTGTGCTCTGCCCATCACGGGTATCGAAACCCGGTTTCTAGCGTTTCAAGTCCAGAGACATGCAGCTGTTGTGCTGAAAACGACACATAAGTAATCTGGAAACATTGAATATATAAGATTTTCTATTGCGTGCATGTTTTTCTAGACGTCACTGTTTCATTACAGCTAATTCGTGTACAAAGATAAAATCATTGTAGAAAATAATTATGTTAATAGAAATATTTTTATTCATATCAGACCCACATCTTATACATACACATAATAATACATAAAATATTTTACATATAATACACGCTCGTGAAAATGTATACACGAGGTGTCCAGGAACTATATTTCCCGCGTTTTTAAAACAGTTACCGTGCATGCACGCTACTCAGAGTAGTAATAATTAAAGCAAGTTGTTCCTATAACTCCCGATGGGAGCACAAAACAATTGCTTCACATGCAAGTTATTTCTTCGTGCAATATTCAAACTGAACTGCTAATAAACACAAAAAAAATAAAATAGCTGAATTCGGTACTATTTAAAGTATCTTCAGACAGAACGTATCTTCATATTAGTATTGTATTGCAATTAAATAACGTGTAGAAGCACCAGATTTCAAAATTGAACGCACGTGCAGAAGTTTCTTTCATTCGAATTCTTATTATTATCAAAAGAACATTTATAACTTTTAAGCCTGGTTTCTACTGTCTGCTTCGTTACGAGAAGGTTTCTCTGATTATGTAAGACTTTGAAATGAACCATGAACAAATTTTTCGTCTCTTAACAGAATCCTTTGTTACACAAGAAAACGTTGCATGTTAATCTTATAATAAACATAATAATTTATTAAAATCTTTCTATAACAGTGCTAGTAACAATGCAATGAAAACACAACTACGACGGTCTGTTTCCAAAAGTTTCCTACAACAA